GCTTAACTATCGTTCATACACCCAAGAGTCATATTCTTACCACATATGTTGAAGCAAAATAAATTTTCTGATTTGGGCATATCTCTATTCTTAAAAATGTTATGTCTTCGAAATAAATGCATACTTTTATCTATAAAGGTACAAGTTAGAGCCATGACAGCAAGTAACTAACTGAGAACTGGACGAAAGGAATTCGATTCTCAGTAGCTACAGTGAGACTTGTCTACTCAGCCATGCAGAGCCCTCACAGCCTATCAACTTGTCCATGGTTCGTTACCCCCATGCCTTATGTATCCGTCTAGCTTCGAGGAATAACGTCATTGTCCAAAACTAAGAAAGAATTATGACAGCGTTTAATCTTCTTGCGAATGCCGCCAATCGGATCAGAAATGTCTGGGTCAATTACCTATGCGTGATGCCTATCTATCTGGAAGACGCCGTCATCACGGAGGATCCCCCCAAATGGTCGCGCGAGTGACTGGGGACTTCACAGGCAACAAAGGAAACCACAGTAACCAAGGTAGGCTATGGATTCTCCACCCTGCCACTCCTGTGCGCAAAAAGGCGTGTATATTTTATACTGATTTAACGACTCTGTCAGTAGCAAAGAATGTACAGCGTTGAATGATAATATAATTAATTAATAATGAACTGTTGAGGACGTCAGCAGGGAGACCAAAAAATAAAATAATGCAGAAATGGTATGCAAGTTAATTGCTGAAACAATGTAAGTTGATGCCATTGCTACAACAATGTGATCAAGTAATGACCTTGGTTTACACTATCACCATTGTTGCAGCCATTAACATGGAATTAAAGGCTCGGAGGGCAAGACAGAGAGTTGCAATGACCCTGGCTCAAGAAACGCTGGAAGTTTCCATATGGTGTGCTGCCCTCACAGGTGACCAAGCCCCTGGGCCACAGACCCGTTGGTGGCCAGCACCAGATGGTTTAACCCTTAACGGTGAAAGCCCAGTGCAAATTATAGATTCTGAAACCCTACAAGGTGGGGGTGTTTGTGAGACAAAGCTTGGTGAGAACCCTCAGAGTGCATAACCCTGGGCCTGCTTTGCGCCATGGGTAAGTCCTGGGGGCTGCCTGCTTCTTTGGAAGAACAATGTCCATAAGGAGATGTTTGCTCGTGCTAGAGCATGAAAAGCATCAAACATGATTAGAAAGGTGTGTACTCTGCAGTACACTGAAATTACAAAGGTATTCTTCATGTCACATCAAGGGCAATGGCATCAGAACGTTTGTTGATAAGCACAGCACGAAAGGTTACAATGTTCCAAAAATGACCTCAGTCCCAATTGTTGCAACACTCTGTTCAAAAAATGCTGTTCCATTGGTTTCAATATGTTGCAACTCAGTGTTCTAACAGTAACCCCAGGTTATGCAGGTTTCCTGCTTCCTAGGAATGAAGTAACAGGTAGCAGACAAGGATGTCACTGTAAGATGTACTTCGCACATGCATTTGGAATGGGGAGGATCTGGTACCCGAGAGGTAAGATGCTGGACTCCCATTTCAGTGTTTTGGGTTTGAGACAAGTCAATCACAAGAAACTTTGTGAATATGGAGAAAATGGAGGTCACAATAAGTTACGTCACTTCTGTACATCATCACCATCAACCTATTACCGAGAGTAAATGGGTTCCTTACCTCAAGTAGATTCTGTCACTCTCTCTAGGCAAATGGAAGCATAAGAAACAAAACTATTTAGAAATGTTACATACGATAAGTTCTGCATGAATTTTAGCTGATTTTAATAAATATGAAATTATCACATTTATAATCACTGTGATAACAACTTGTGAATAAAGATAAATATTAATAATTAATTCCCAACTGACAGTAGTTAGGTAACATATATCTATCCTTTCAAAGTTTTAATTTTTAACATTTACATAAAGTAAATTATCAATGGTGTGTGAACATTCATGATTCAGTCAGTAACATAGTACATCATCAACTTTATAAACCCTTTTTTACACAGTAACAATCAGTGATTCAATCTGTCTTTGTTGATCCAGTTGCTTCGCGTTCAGGGCAATCCATTCGCTGAGCCAAGCTACGCGCCATGTAATTCCAATACTCCCTGCGTATTGTGTCATATTCATTTGCCAATACATCGCACAGCTGAAATGAAAAGTCAAGACAATGTAGAAAATGAAAAATATTCAAACGTTTGCATCATGGAGCAAATGTATCATATTTTCCCACAACACGAATCTTTTTTGGGTTTATTATAATTTTAAAATAGGTGACCTTACATATACAAACAAAAAATGTGAGATTCCAGATTCCTGCCAAACACAGATTGTGCCAGACTGCACCACAACCTCATTTACATTTCTTTCTGCCAGAGTCACCACCTTCAGAACTTATTTCAGTTGTTTTTTTCCATACTGCATGAAATGAGATCTTGTACAGTCAAGCATGACGAGCATTGGCAAAAATATTGAGCAGACGTGAGAGAAAATTTATACTTTGTGCTGCAAACTGTAGCTACGAATGTTATTTAAGCAAATAATAAATTTTGTTTCCTGCAAATTTTCCATTGGAAAGAAGGTATTATTTTATAGTATATACAGTAACCCTCTCTCTCTGCTAACAGAATAACCCTTACGAAGATGATCCTTCATGTTGTATGACCACACCTGTAAAGCACGCCGAAGACTCTCCTCTTTGTCGCCGTCATCTCTCTCCATGTTTTCTTCACACATGTCCACTAGAAATGCTAGAAGGAATGGTGAACGGTTTCCAGAAGAATACAATTCTTCACAGACTTGCCTCACATTCTGATCCTGGCTAATTCCACCATCATGATGTAAAAGTACCCTATGACACAAATACATTCAAATACATACTTTAATGTTTATTTTTCTTGAGACAATAATATTTATTTTTCAACTTCCCACATATAATATAGGTTAAAAATATTATGTTAACCATGCATAAAGAAACATTTGTATAAATGGACTCGTCATTACAGACTTTACTCGTTATGCCGGGTTTCTACCGTAGGCTACTTAACATAATTTTTACAAGATGGATGACTTATCTTCAGTTTATGCAACTCTGTAATGTTACACACAAGTAATAAGAGGTGTTTTCTGCATCAGAATATCACAAATGTCGTTAGAATTCTGCTTGTAAAATTAAGTTACCCTCTAAGGTAATTCCATGCACTCTCGTTATTGGAGACAGTCTTGATTTTGTCTAGCGTGAACATCAACTCTTGCTGTACCACGTCTGGTTTGAAACCGGTGGTGTTGTTGATGACAAAGTAACGCTGGTTCCACGCAGAGTTGTTGCGAACGTCTTCATCCAGCAACTGATTGACATACTGCAATTCATTCTGAAATAATCTGCAAACACATAACAGGTTCAGACACGGAATAAAACGCTCATTCCATACGCAGGACATAGGAGTATATCCTGCGCGGATTGGATCGATCAGCAAAAGTACCGGTACACTTCTGAAAATTAAAATATTTGTCTCGCAAATGTCAACACGTTCTCACTATCTCGAGTTTGAATTTATTTGTGGTACATTCACGTTGTGCATTGTTGTTCTTAAATTATTTGCTGGTTGTCATGAAATATGATTGGATCTATAACAGTCTAAGATGATGTGTTTGTGCTGCTAATTAACTTCAAGTTACAGAAGCTTCCTTGAAAAGTTGCTTGTTTTAAAACGTGACAATTCATGGCTATGTACACCAAAGCCCATTACTGTATCATATTCTGGGCCAAATGAATCCAGTCTGTACCTTCACACTCCACTTCTCTAAAATTCTAAGCTTCATTTTAATATTAGCTTCCTATCTATGCTTATGTCTCCCAAATGGTCTCTTTCCTTGAGGATGCCTGACTATATTCTGTATGCATGTCTCATAATATAATGCACAACATTAAAATATACTTCTTACAAATTTCTATTTATATGAATTAATATTGGACTTCATTTTCAGGAGCATTAATGAAGAATAAGCTGTTAAAAGTTACTTTTATAACTGTATCTATTTTAAGGAAAAATAAAATATGAACTGATAAGCTGAATATGTATTTTTACAAATATCAGCACTTACTTGAAAGTACGAATGATCCATTGTCGGTGCTGCCACGCGTGATAGTTTTTGGAATCTTGTGAAAGTATTGTTTCAGTAAGACTTAGCTCATATGCTGGATCTTGTAACCATTCAACAATTATTCTCCGATGATGCCTAAGAACAGATTATGTAAGGAATGTGGCAATGTTTGTGTATTTATTCTATACTCTGCACGTTGATATTAGAAGTGCTCCCTCAGTTATTAACACATTAGTTCAATTTGGCTTAAGGAATCTCAGTCTTACAAAAGAAATGTGGACTTCTGAAAAATGCATAAATTCTCCTTGTAAAAGCATTAAACTCACCATATCTTATGAAGTGGGATGAGTGAAAACTTATCAACAATCTACTGATTCAGTAACGGGAAATACTTGGGCCAGACGGTGGGGTAAGACATGTTCCTTCCCTTCATTAATATGAAGTAAATATTTTGGAGAAACATACTGTCTCCATTCTCAGCCCTGAAGATGTTTCTCCAAAACCTATGAGTCTACACAGCAATTACAACCTATTACAACACTGTCAAGTGATCATGCTTCCATTTCATAAAACAAAATTCATTTGTTACTTTCTCCTGGGTACAAGCTGTGAAACAAAAGCAATTCTGTTTTAAACTCTCAATTCACTTTCACTTATATCTAACTAGAAGTTAATATTATCATGACAGATTGGTCGAGGGGGAGAAGTCAGACTAAGACAGGTACCCTGGTCCTCCAGGTTGGGGGTTGGTCGCAAGGCTAATAACCTTGCACCATACAAAGGAAGATGTTTCGAAACCTCGATCAAAGCCTCGGACAGACAGACCTAACAGAGGACTGAATGGAAGAGGAGAACTGAGGAGGCCATGGACCAAATACAGACCGGAGAGCCATAGGAGAAGAAGAAGAATATTCAGAACATACATACCATACTTGGTAATTCTTAGGATTATCTTCTATCATTTCTTTCACATACTGCAGTTCTGGAATCAAGTCTTTGTTCAGATGCTTCAAGATCTCCCTCCTAAAATCAGTATATATTTTAAATCATAATTATGAATAATATTTCAAATTCCATTCGGATAGACATAATTTAACGCATACTGAAGTAGTTTCTATCGGCAATTATCAAGGACAATGTCTACTGAAATATATGTTCACAATATATATGTGATTTGCTGTTGGACTGTTATCTGGGATGTGTAAATAACTGTAAACAAGTTTCTCTTTTACTAAAGATGGCTTCCTGTAGAAGATGTGTGAGATCAAACTTCTTTACATAATTTGGTAATGAACAGATTAAGAAGAGATGTAAATAATACAGTTTCTCTATAGCCAGCAATACTTTATGATAATCTGATAGCAAACAGGCCACAAAAATAGTAGGTTCTGCTTTGCAACAGTGGCTTTAAACGTAACCAGTCATAAAACTAGGGGCTTACTACAATATTACAGGAAACAAAATTCCTGTAAAAAGATCTAATGCCTTATTTATCTGCATTTTCACCTAGTGTACAGACAAACAATTCAGAAAATGGGTTAAATTACCTATATTGCCAGACAGTATAGTTTGCTGGATTCAAATCAAGAGCATCCTTTGTTAACTGAAGTGCACGTTCTGACTTCTCAGATGACTTGAGAACTGCCCGGAAATAGTCATAAATATCTTGAACTGAAAAAGATTGAAGAGTGCTATTTGTGATATTTCACCAAAACAAAATAATTCCCATTTTATATTTCCCTGTTATAGATATTCCACTATTTAGAGTTAAGTATGTATGACCCAAATAGTTCAATGCAACATTTATGCACACAGTAATTATAATTCAGCATGCATCATCATGGGTTAAAATGTTTGCTTATCATAGCATGTATTAACTATACCATTATTTATTTTTACAAAAAAATACAGCATGTCAAGTAAAAGGTACTGCACTATGTGAGTTGTATTATCAAGATAGAAGCTGCTTTACAGGATTGAGATTTGAATCTGGGACCTCTGAAACATTAAGTGGGTATGGTAACTACTAGGTTGCAACACTTAGTGTTTGGTAATTCATTCTTGAACACAAAGTGTACAATGCCTTCAAGACCTACCAGTGGGTTAAAGAGATGAAAGAGAAGAAAAGACGTGCAATATTTTATGTCACAGTGAAATCCTATTACTCTTTCATGAATCATCTTCTACAGATGGAAGACGGAATGACCTCCGGGCCTAAATGGTTAAAACAAAAAACTGCACACGTCATGGGCTACATGAGCCCAACGCATATGATGAATGAGGTACTACATGCTTAACGGCATGTAGAATATGGTCTAAAAGGAATCGATTATTTACAATATTTTATACTGAGGAACTGCTAGAATACAGGTATGTTCATTTAATTGCTCCTTGGGGCGATACTTGATTCGTATCGAGAAAACCTTGTAGCCCTTGGCGGCGATTCATGCATTTCCAGCTGGGAGCTGAGAAAGGTGATGAGTCATGCAGTTCCAGCTGGAGCCGGTAAGCGACTGCTGCGTTCAACTTTATCAGAGAACGCGCTGTACTACACCAAAGACTGATTCCATGACTTGGCTTTGTGGAAATGGGAAGACACTTTCTCTGAATATTTCTGAAACCTGCCCAATTCAAAATGTTTGCAACATTCCGTATTACTCAACATCTAAAGTATACATATTGTTGGTGACCCTGTTTGGATCTGATCACCAGTCATTTGTTTATAGTTTGCACACTAGACCTTCACATACTCACATTTTTCCGAATACACAATCGCTACAATAGGATAAGGTCCGTCATCTTGCGGTACCGGGGTAACGTCTTTCCAATCAACTCGGTATTTATACAATACCCAGTTGGTTTCATCATAAAGTTCTTCCGAGCTGCTATCTGCTTCCGCCATACTGTTTCACGTCTTCCCGCGCGCTACAATGCAGTTTGAACGTTATATGCAAAATATTTAAGATGCTCGAAAATGAGTTTCCTTTGATAACTCGTTACTTTCTCATTTACACGGCAAACATAGACTCTAGTCCAGTCGTTGTCATTACAATTTAATATGGATTTATTTGTATTTGTCGATTTTCATTTACGTTGCGATCGTAACTCAGTTGGCAACAGTTCATACTGTATCGTATATGGGTGAATGAATCTAAATGTTGTTGATAGATTAAACATATGACTTTTATGTCTGATTGAAGTGAATTACTGTATATATAAGTGTTTGCGTTGTATTACAGATCCTTGCTCGCAGTACTATTAGGAGAGTTTCATGATGGCACAGCAATTTTGCAGATACAGAATTTATTTGATAAAATAAAAGTACGTTCTGTGTTTCAACACAACATTTTGAATGCGTAAAACGGAAGTCATTATATATACCATGTACAGCAAATACATTAGAAATGGGCAAAACGGGCCCTTGAGATTCTTTTCATTCTTTGCGGTCGCGTTAGTGACCTCTTCAGTTAATAATCATATTGGTGGATATGTTATTTTTGACCGGTTTTTTTTATATAATTACAGGTTATGTTGTTTGAAATTCCATACCACATGTCACTTTTGCCTCAAAATGAATGAATGTACAGATATAATGGTAAATTGAAACAAAAAATCTGACTTTTATTTTTAAAATTACCAGTTTAAGATATAAAATGTTGTGGTGAGAACGTTTTCTTGTAATTATCTTTGTTTCCTAACTATATTTCCTAAATACATTTCTGTATTCAGTAAAACTCTGTAGTCTAGAATATGTTAACCACCAGTGAGTTACAGAGTCCTCCAGTGCTGGATAATTTTGTCAGTATTATTTTAAGGAAAATCCATGAATAGCGGTATACCAGTGGCACTACTATTTTGTTTTAGTATATGTACGTCTCAGTTGAACTCGACAAAATACATCTGGTTTGAATATATTGAATAGAATCAGCTGTGTGTTTGTTGTTTATACAATCACCTGATTCTATAGTATGTATCCACAGTCCTTTATGCTGGCATGAGGAGAGTTCATGCTATGTGTGTTTATATATATTCCATTTACAAATGACATAATGAAGGATTTTACACAGTAAGAGAGTTGAATACAAAGACTTAGTGGTTTCAAAATCTGTATTTTGTTAGATATATTGAAAACTCAAATTCGTTACAGATATGCACCAAGAAAGTTCAATTGATATTTAAAATTAATTAAATTACTATATATTTATGTACAGACCTGGATCAGATATCAATTTGAAACAACAAATTTCAACAATACATGAATAGGAAGCAGATGAAATTACATAACTGAAGACCTTTACAATGTATACTGTCCTTTTATTAAAATAGTCACAATTGGCTGGACATGTAGTTTTAATGGAACATGAAACACACATAGAATTTTGGTGAGGATGGCTCCAGCCCACTCCAAAGAGGAAGATAGGAGGATAATACTCAACCCAGTCCAAATGAATATGAACGGTTGGGCCGACATTAACATGATTTGAAACTAAGGGTATAAATTGACCATGTACTGGTCAAGGGTACAGGACCTAGCATCTCACTATCCACTGCAGTGTTGTTGACATAACATCAGTGGGCATGGTTTTGAAATAGTTTTCTTAAGGTACTTACAAAAATTAATATTAAGCATGTTCCATTGAACACTGTTCATTGAGAACAGTTAAACACTTGTTAAGTGCACATTAACAACAGATTTAACATTTTTGTTATTTTTGTTAGTAACACCTCCTTATTAATTTTGTGCCACAAAAGTAGAATGGTCAAGGACTGTTAAGTGCTGATACCTACTGGCCATCCCTTACCACCAGTGGTTGATGGGAAACCTTGCAGCTCTTTGCTTCAGATCAGATGCAAATTGATTTCCATGGTTTGGTAAGACAAAGAATGTGAAATTAAATCTGAGCTTATAAGACTTGAAGCATTCATTATGAGTAAATGTGATAACATCCTCTTGGATGATCAACCATGTCAGTTTGGAGCTGAAGTCCACTTCTGCACGAGAGGATTTTAGACCTTTAAGCTGTTACATTTATGATGTATACAGTGATGGCTTTCAAAACTAAGCACTTTGTCTACAGTGGGACATTTTGAATGAAATAGGTGAAAATTAATGAAAACAGGCAAGATATGCCCTAGTTTCCTGTAATATATTGCTCCAAATGCACATACCATACTTTCATCTTATCCCATTTGATTTATGAAGTCATGGTGGAAGAATAGTTCTCCTCCTACTTAATTAAAATTTGTGCTTGAATTCTTATATTGTTACTGTATTATGTATGGATTTCTCTCATCAGGCAAAGTTTCAATCAAATTCTGGAATATCGTCAAAAGAGTATCCTGGGTACTGACGATATGCGTAATATGCAACTCTTACGTGGTATGCTCCTGGCAAAAACATGATAATTCCCAGTATAATAAGAGGCCATGTCCGATCTGCATACTGTAAAATAAAAATAAAATCAGAATGTATTTATATGTCACAGATCCATCATAACAGTCAGAAGAGGATGCAAATCAGTTTGTTGTTACAGCCATTTACAGACATCTTACTTACAGAGCAACGTAATAATGTAAAATATTATTTTCATATATATTTATAAAGCAAATTTTTCTATAGTGTAGGAATAAGATATGACAATCTTAGAATTCTGTACATGAGACTTTTAATGCTTGCCAATATTTAATTATTTTCTTTGGATGTTAAACATTTTGCTGTCTTCTGGTTTTTATTTATTTAATGTTTTCATTAATGATGTCAGTAGCTCATATTAGGGTGATTAATGAAAGTATCCTGTTTTTTAAATTATATTATTGTCATCACAGCAAAGCATGCTGGTCTTGGTATAGGGACAATATATCCAATGTATGTTTCTCAAAATTTAATGGAAGTCTGTTGATTTTAAATTGGACTACTTCTGACACAGTCTGTGATCATGTCTTGACAGATAAAAGGCAACAAATATATTTGATGCCCTATCATGCAAAAGTGGCCATTATTCAGTGACTGCAAAAGTTATGAAGCATTAAATATCTGGATGATAAAATTAAGGATGATGTGAAGGCCAGGGCATGTAGCACACTTGGGAGGGTATGGACTGATACATCTGGCTCAGGATAAAGGCTGTGGTGGGCTCCTGAAAACAACAATGAACCTTTGGTTACTATAAGAATCAAGTAAGTTCTTGACTAGTTGAGTGACTGTCAGGTTCTCAAGAAGAGGTCTGTTCAATAGAGTTACTCTCGGAAGCGAATGGTGTAATATATAAGAGTTGATTAATACTTTCCATCATGTGCATTATTACCTTTGCATCAATGTGACCACTAACAAGTAAACTCCCAAGAACCAGCAATATTGTTCCTCCAAAGCAGAGAAATATTGCAAGGACAAGTGCTTTCCATGGAATAGCTTGTGTTGGAATTTCAAACTAGAAAAATCAATAAAGATTAATACATGCATGTAGTGATATTTTTGTAACAATTCTCGTTTTAAGTTATATTAAAGTCTCATTTTTAAGTCATTCAAACAGATATCCTTCAAACAAATCTATGATAATACATCAACAATATGCCATCTTCAGACTCACTGTCATGAAAACCTCAAATCCTACATGCAAGGTGTTATGCCAGCATTCCCTGCCTTCCAATTCAACATTTTCTTCATTATTATACAGTATGTGGCAGAAACTTATCTGTCACACATTAATATTAGTTCTGAACGGAAATAAACTCACGATATTAGAACCTTTCAACAGAACTGTAATTACAGTATTCCTACCTGAGAATCAATGAATTCACTATCATCTTCCTGCAACTTCTGATAGTTAACATTTCTATATGCTGATGTCCTTCTTCTTGACATCTTCACTTTTTCCATAAACTCTGAAGTGTAAGAGACAAAATTAAATGTAGTTTAATTAAAGTACAGTAATATGATGCTATCTAGAAGGCATGAAACATACCCCTCCAATTCCACATTGCACAAAAATTGCACTGTCAACATGCAGTATGCCCAAATGCTCTGAATTATAAATGTAGATTTTAACACTGTTCATATCTTTGTCCCCTACTCCTATTCTTCACAAAAGGTCAATACTAGAATTGCCCTTCATAAATGTCAGACCTTTTGTAGTGGATATAACTAGGAAATCAATCGGGAGGACGTGTTACGACTAGGAGCTGCAATTTTCACAACCACAAAACCAAAAATAAAAAATTCTACATAAGTATTATTCAGTACTATGCTTTGATATTTACTTGAAATAATTTGTTTGCCATGTACAGGAGGTTGAGGGTTGCTTTACGTCAATTTATTTCACGGATCGTCTCCATTGATCATGTCCTATTAACAAGCGCGATATCTGCGGGCGAAATGCAGAAACTGCAGAAGAGTCAGTACAAATGAGCGTTTTCGCGCGTGGTCTGCTTTCGTTTGTGAAATCCACAGGTTCGGTTCTCCAAACCTCCACCATCAGCATTCTACCGCCACGTGTCCTGCAGAATTTCACGCTCCGCCCATAACTAAACATTTGAACGAAGCCGTGATATAGATGGCAGTAGAGCTCTGGTATTCCGTTTATTGTGTTGTAGGGCGTGGTTCTGTGCTATGTAACATGTCGTATTCTTTCTTACGTGTTTAGATCCGGTCTAGATTCGCACTGCTGAGTCTAAGAGGAGTCTGCTATCATTCGTATTTGGTATGTATCATTAAGTGTCTGCCCTGCTTTCTGGGAATAAAGAGTGAACTTCTGTTATTCAATAAAATACCGTAGGGCAACGAATTGTATATGCCTGTTTGCTGTCTGGAATGTGACAGAACTGAAAGAGTGACGTTTATGTGCCGATTTGTATTCGCGTATCGTCTCTCTCAAACAAGTTGTTTCACACCACCCTTTTCTTGCACCAAATTGTGTATAAAGTGCCAGAACATGACTGAATTAAACTCTTATAATAATCGTATAAATGTTGACTCTCAAGGTCATATTGACGTAGTACGCCCTTCATGAGTCATCCCCTAATGATTTTATTTGAATGGAATGTTTTGACCTTTGAATCGAAGTGTATTGCTACGTTTTAATGGTAACCGCATGTCTGAAATTAAGTGGCACTGAACAGAAAATAAAGTTGGCCAAAACTGACATGGTCTGTGTAACATTACATGTAATATTGTGCACAAAAATGGGTCACTTTTAAACCACACTCCCTTTCTGTAGATGTATGTGAATCATTTTCTTCAGTGAAGAAGTCGACCTACGTCATTCTTACTAAGTAATGTGAATCATATGGCTTCTCCAAGGAATACATCATCACTGAGTAATGAAAGTCCTTGCTCTTTATTACTGGTGCTGTTATATGTTTGTTCACATAAGAGGAAGGTAGTAGTACTATTCTAACAAGGTACTTGTGCAGATCTGGTAGGTTATTAGAATACGTAATACAAATGTAGTCATTAATACCAGCATGAATTCACATTTGTAACATCTTGTATGAACAGAGCAAAATAATTGTTTAGGAAATATTTTCTGTGTGTTCAGTATTCCACATTAACAAGTGAACATTTTGTAGATATTTGTGTGCATTTCATAGTTATTTATTTTTTAGTATATCTGTGTTAAAGGTTGTCACTTTTCTTTTCAACTTGCAGATTGTATTTTATATTGGAAAAGGATGGGTTCACACAAGTACTATCCTGTGCAGGTATGAATTTTCATTTTTAAAGGACTCACATATAAAATATTTGCAGTTCTTGATACTTCATTTTACATTTTGTATGGATGTCTAATGTGATTTTGAGACTTCGTATGTATATTTTCAGTGCACACCAACACTTTACCCTGCGGAACCATTTGATCCAACTGCAGATGCAGAAATATTGCGAGCAGCAATGAAAGGTCTTGGAACTGATGAGCAAACAATAATTGATATTATTGCAAAGAGGGGAATTGTTCAGAGATTGGAGATTGCTGAGACATTCAAGACTTTGTATGGAAAGGTAGTGTCATTTTAAATGTCCCTTTTTTTAAGAGTATATTTTATGGCAGAATTTCAGTAAACCATTTTTTGCAGAGGTTAAGTATTCTGTAATCAGTACTTTCTAAGAATGAAATTATATCAGTTGCCCAGACTGTATAGCATCAAATGATTAGATTAATGAAATGGATATGGAAAGAACAAAATATATTAAATATTGTAGTGAGATAGGATGATTTTTGCAAGTGATTACATACTTGAGGATACCCCCAGTATCTTCAGAGGTAGAAAAATTAATTACTTATGTGTTAAATGTGTGTTATCCAGGTGGTCACACAGATCCTTTTCAGGAAGAACTTGTGCAGTACAGATATGTTCAATTTGTTAAACATAACCTCAGAGATCCACATCATAACCACATTTGTAATTGTTCATTTTATAAACAATATTCATATAGAATTTCTGGGTATGTGTATAATCTGCAAGTATAGATTCTGTGTCGCTCCCAGGTTGCTTTATGTCATCTTCCCTCCACCTCATAGGTTTGTGCTTCTGCTGTTTTTCCTACGATTTTTCCCTCCAATCCTCACTCCTCTTTTGTGTACATAGTTTTATTTTCTGTTTTCAGAATATACATAATATTATTTTGATTGTTACTGTTTTAGATAATTTGTCAAATATATATGCATTTGATTTACTTTTCTGTGCATACTATAGCTTAAACCTATGTCTGATTTATAAATTACCTTTGAAACATTTTGTTCAGATATCTTACAAATGCATTCAGTTTCCTTTGATTAAAAGTTTGTTCTTCCATTGCTTTACAAAGAATAATGTACTTCACATATTGGTCAACAGTATTTGTTGGAATGGTATATTTTCCATCATTCTTATCAGTTTTCCTCTATTCTATTGAAGGATTTAATTCATGAATTGAAAGGTGAGTTGGGTGGACACTTTGAAGATGCTGTTGTTGCACTGATGACCTCATTACCAGATTTATATGCAAAAGAATTACATCATGCCATCAGCGGGATTGGCACTGATGAGGAAGCTATTGTGGAAATTTTGTGCTCGCTAAGCAATTATGGGATTCGCACCATAACAGCTGTGTATGAGAAGTGTAAGTAACTGTTTTAATATAACTAGAAACTGTTGATGCTTTTCATTGATTCATAGTACATATTTTTATTTTTTGTTTGTTACTTGCGTTCTAATAGTTTCTAGATTGATCAGATTAACGTACAGCATATCTGTTGAGACTTATTGTTGGTTTTGTCCTCATTTGTAACAGTACAAAATTATTTAAACTTCCTAGACAAATTCTAATTCTGCATATAAGAATACATAAACATGTATCTTGTCAAGAAAATTAATATATCGGTTATTTTCCTTAATTGTATTGAGACAAAATTAATGTAATCATTAAACTTTCTTAATGGTAAATATGTTTAATTTTGGTGTTGTTTCAGTGTATGAAAGCCCCCTGGAGAGTGACTTGGTAGGTGACACATCTGGTCACTTCAAAAGATTGCTTGTCTCTCTTCTTACAGTAAGTTCTGCACTTTATATATAGCATGATAGGACTTTGGCAAATATCTGAAAGATGGTAGACTAAAACATTTATCTATTGAAGTCATAGGCCTTGAAAGTGGCTTCTGCTCCAAATTATGAAGAAAACTATTGTAGCTTCATTAACTGAATTAAATGTAATGTTACATAATAAGATATATTGGGTTAAAAATTCTCTCCCAAGATGGGCTGCAGGGAAATTTATAACTAGTACTTGAAATGTACAAGACTGAATGGTATGGTGGGTATGTTTGTATTCTTCATCCCCCCATGCATCGAGGGATGAAGAATAAAAAAAAATTCAGAAAGCCTGAAGAGAAGGGACCTCTTGGAAGACCTTGGTATTGGTGGGTATAATTTTAAATAGGTCTTAGGGAAATAGGAATTTGAGGATGTGGATAAGATTTATCTGACTCATGATGGGGACTAATGGCAGACTGTGGTACAACTTGGTAATGAACTTTTGAATTCCATAAGAGGCAGGGAACTTCTTGACTAAGTGATCTTTTCAAGGATTAAGCTACATGCAGTTTAGCCAGGAATGTTAGCTTTAAATTAAAATTATTTAATAATCACTGTTATATTATGCTTGTTGCAGGCTAGTAGAGATGAAAGTGGGGATGTTGATGCTGGTGCAGCAGTGGCTGATGCTGAATCTCTTCTGGCAGCAGGTGAATACAATGTTCTCTGATTGATTTGAAACCAGAGATTATGCCAATTACAATTTTGAGCAGAAGCAATTTTCTTTCTTTTAGGTGAAATGCAGTGGGGTACAGATGAGTCTGCTTTCAATGCCATTTTGGTTTCCCGAAGTTATACGCAGTTGCGCCGTGTGTTCCGCGAGTATGAGAAACTTGCAGGTCATGACATCGAAGCAGCTATTAAACGTGAATTTGCAGGCAGTTTGGAAGATGGATATTTGTCCATAGGTAATGTAATGAAAAGTTGTTCTGTTACGTGTCATAGAGGTGCTTGGGGGAAGAGGAGGTATAGCTCCCACTCATTCTTGACCTCATCACTATTTAGGGGTGTGTGATCAGCATCATGCCTGAGCTTTGCTTTACCCCTGGGAAAGACCTGCAGTACTATTGGATAAGAGGCTGGTCGGGCCCCAGAGCCAATCTGGATGCAGATGCTAGAAGAAAAATCCTTTACCCCTGTCCAGTTCATAGTTACACTGTACTGACTGGGCTACCTGCTGTTAAATAATCTCTGAAATAATCAACCAGTGCTAATAAGCAGTTTTTCTGTAAATGCAGATTAATTGAATGTGTTTATTTTTTAAACAGAGTTGTCTCTAATACTTCCAGTTTTATGAAGTCATCTTAAATTTTAGGATCTTTTGATGCAATTAAGTTGAGGTTGTCTTTTGATTGATAGTGAAATGTGTCAAGGATAAGACTGCATATTTTGCTGAGAGGCTCCATGATGCTATGGCTGGAATGGGAACAAAGGACCGAACATTGATCCGTATCATTGTTACCCGTTCTGAGATTGACTTGGGTGATATCAAAGAAGAATATGAGAAAATATATGAAAAGAGCTTGGCAGATCGTATTCAGGCAAGTTACATTATATTGAGTATAAATGATGTACAGGTCGGTATAAAAAATTGCATTATTATTACTTTGACATAAATTTTTTATTATTATTATTTGGAGTTGCTGCAGTCACCTTTTTGCATTGTGGTAGAGTAAGAAAGAAATTATCTGTAATGTGGTGTAACTGCCCAAAACAGAGTATAGACTGTTCTCCACATTCACATCAAATCAGTATCATGATCATTATTATAATGTTACCACCTTTGTGGCTTCCTATACCCCTAGGACACCTGCTGCTAAGAGTTTATCACATCTTTGCATTAGTAGGTCATGTAGTGGATTTGTACAATTTTTTGTTTTTGTTTTAGGAGGATTGTTCTGGAGATTTCAAGAGACTGTTACTAGCTTTGTTGGGCTAACTGAAAGGATGTGACGGTACCCACAGCAGTAGTGACAGTCACAGAACCAATTATACACACATTTGTGTGTTGTAGTTGCAGTCTGTGATTATCCATATAGATCTGATATTAGGTGCTATGTGCGATATGATGGTAGGAATTCTGATATAAAATGTGCTCTACTATAGTTGAAAGTTGATGCAAACCATCACCGCTAATTATACACATATATGTGTTGTAGTTGCAAATTACAATTATCTGATATTAGGTGCTGTGTGCACTGTGATGTTATTAGTCTGCTTTTATGTAGTTCATACATCAAATGCTAGGAGTAAGAGGTTTGTTTTCTTTCTTGAACCTCGACAAATACACCAGCCTATACTGATGCTTGTCCTCCACTATCAGCTATATGTAATGAAAATAATAACAGCAGAATTGAGAAATAAAACATACTGGAGAAAGAAGCTGGAAATCATGGTTGAATAATTCTAAATTTAATTTGCCTGTCCAAGTTTCTGGAACTGGAAAATTTCTTACCAGTATATGCTGAGAAATAAACTTGAAATGATACTGATTCCCAAATATGGTATATGTGTATGGGACTTCATAATGCTGTGTTTAGCAGGTTTAATGTCAAGTCATTTAAAAGAACAGCCAGAGTAAAACTGGTTTCTATAAAATAAGCCTTAAATTACAATAATGGTTTAATATGTAAAATTATTACAAATTGACTCATCTTAGGATATTGTTATTGTTATGTATATGTCCTTTTTGAGAATGTTTAGCTGTTGCTTATTATAAAAATGGTGGTTTTTGTATTGCATGTTTAATATATCTTTGATATCAGTTATTTATATTTCATGTTACTTTATAAATGAAGATATGAATCTTAAGTTTATTCTGTTTACTGTTTGTTTTCCTTTGCTTTGTTGTGAAACTGCTACTGCTGCAGTTCATATCCAAGCTAAATGAAATTTCCTGTTTGTTCCTTCGCTTAGATTTCTTTCCTACGTTGCTAGTCCATTACTGATTACACAGATGGTATCACTTGTCATTCCACTCACATGTTTGATACTGTGCTAGAGATTACTGGTTACTCCATCTTCATAATTTTCTCTCATATTAATAATAAAAACTTGAAATTAAACATTATTAAGTTAGGAATGGTAATTTTTTTCCTGAAAACCAATAAATTTGATAATAACTGGAAATTCCATTTAAGCATGTAAGCTGCAGCCTGCTTTTTACATCTATATAGTCAGTCTGGCCTGCCTCAAGGTAAGAAAAAGAAATTATTAAAGATCATATTTCCAAGTTGGATACTTGGTTCCATATTGCAAGAGGTTCTGTCAAAATGTGTAATACTGTAGCAAAATTTAGGTTTACTCTGTCAGGTATATTCACAGGTTACATTTTGCCAGGATGTGCTAATTAGTTTTTGTCTTATCCATTTAATATTCTGTTTTTGCTGTTTATTGCTTTAGATAGGATCTGTGATATATTGATCATAGTTATACATGTGTTTAAATTTTCTCTGCTCTTGTCAATTACAAATGAATGTGAAGAAATCTTCTGATAATCATTCAGTTTGTTGAAATAGAACCAGTTATGTACAGCCCTTTAAAAAAGTGCTTGAGGCAGCAACCTGTCAAAGCTGTGAATGTTAAACTGCAGTAACTACAAGTAATATTAATGTGGTAAAATAAAATATGTGATGTTTTAATCATACATTCAAAATGTTTGGTGTCATTTTTATCTTAGTTCTTGTGTGTAGGTTTTCATAGCTGAAATTCAGTGTATAATGTCAGGTGAGAGCTGAAGTTATACATTTTTATCTTGATGTTTAACAATAGTAGTGCAATTAAGAAGGAATAGATAGTAACTTATTCTTGAACAATCTTCGATGACTGCTTTTGTCACATGAAAAGGTCCATATGGTATTACAAGTTTGACAGAACCTTGTATTTAAGGGAAATTTCTTTTCATGAATTTCTCAGTGTTTCATCTGAAATTTTTATAAAAGTTAAATGAATCTCATATTTTATTTTACAAATATACCTTATAGATCATGCATATATTTTATAGTAAAATGTATTTACTCGTTAATGTCTAACTTTTTACATTTACGTGGACACAAGTTTATAGCATTCAGTGTAGATTGTTTAGTTTAACCTAGGGACTCAATTAGGTGGAGGTGATCTGTTTCATTCTTCACATTGGGTAGTAAACTGGACATGGTACTTGGGTTAACTTCAAGTGCCATAGCATTAAATTGTTTGTTTCACATAAGTTTCAGAAATGTTATCATTAAGAAAGATACAAGATTAACTTATTAATTTTAAATTATGAAATTTTGGATTGGGTCATAAAGGAAACGAATGCATGTCTTGCCTTCATTAATGCTTAAGACATGCTTGCAAAATACACTTTATGAAAGTGCCTTCTGTTTTTGTTGCCTATGCAAGTACAGATAGGGGCCTTGAAAGAATTTTAAAATTTGTATACTGAAGTGTTAATTCCCATTAGCCAGCTAATTGTTGCATTTTTATTTATCAACTGGTATAAAAAGACAAGTATGAGGCTAGAAATTAGTATAAAATTTCAACAATAGTAATACACCTACGTACATAGTCATGTAACCTGACAACATTTATCTTTTGTCATCTTCCATATGCATCGGGATGCAGACAAGAACTATATTCTTCCTATGTAAGCCCAGCACTTGTGATAGCATACCTGCAACAACTGTGTTGGGCAGTTTTCCAGAGCTGTTTTATATATTAAAACATCTTCCAAACTATGTTTTGTCAACCTTTATGTTACATTTGTTGAAAACCTTAAAAATTAAGAAAATATTCTTAAGTGCATTTAAGCTTTTACATAATGATGTATTAATTTTTAAAAGATAATTCTCAATGTTCATAATGACAGCAGTAATAAATCATGCTTTTTGCATGTAATGGCATTCAGGTAAAAAAAAAAAAAGTTGAGTTTAAGACATATGAAGTAGAGTACTATTTAATTTATGTATGTAATTTTTGCTTGTACAACATTGATTATTAAACATTCCAGTATTATGGGTTCAGCAACGATATATACATACAGTAAAACCTCTGACAATGATTTATATAGCACAGAATTATAGGTCTTCACATAATGTTTTTTTAATAACAAAAGCATAAAATTAGCATGCTGAATTCTATTACAACTTTGATTGATTCAGATGTTACAATTATTACCTCATCATACTTCGTGATAACTAGGTGTATGCGCACATGCACATGTATATTGTGTTTTTCACTAATTCAAAGATGGAATGGGTAGTAGGGGCACTGAATTCCAGAGCCTAACATTGCATTATATAAAATGAATTAAAAATGTATTGGAGGAATGTCTATCCCTTTTCTGCACTTTCAGTATTAGTTGTATAACTGAAACTTAAAGTATGTAGCAGTATGCTTGAAGCTGCATAGTAATGTTAAAACATAAATAATGTCAGTATTTAATCAGTGTTTCCGTGTAATCATGAGGTTAGAGGCATCCAGACCTTAAAATTTTGTATGCATGTAATCTTGGCAGAAAGTCACTCTATTACCAAAATTTGACTAACTTCTATGTTCCCCTGTTTGTTCATTGTGGGTGCTAATGCCAGTCATGACTTTCTGTCTTGTCTGCTCGCTGTGGAACAACCTCAATAGGAATGATTTTTTATTGTCAACTGCAGATTTGTTTTAACACTATGTTCCTAATGCCTGAGGATTGAAGGTGGTGGGTATTTGATTAAAACTTGCTAATTTAAACAATTAGAGATGTTGACAGTAGTTAAGTCACAAGGTTATGGGTAACAGTATATACATTTTTATTATTATTTCTCATAATTTGTGTTCAATACAGTTATGTGTGTCTTTACAAATTTATTGTGTATGTAATGTATTGCCTGTGTGGCATTATGTTCATGAAACTACATTTGATTGCCTCTGCATATATTGTAGCAAACAGTGTTATTCAAAGGCTTTTTTCATTAACATGATATTCATCTACATATGACTCATATTGTTTGAATATTTAAAGCTTTTGACTCCCATTATTTTGTATATCATTCATTCATCATCAGAGCCCTCATATTGTCATACTGAATGCATGTTTGTTAAACTTTCATAACCACAGCTACTTCAGTTCTCTGAAGCTGGTGTTTTTAGGTATGTGTATAAATAATAGTTTTTATTATGCATTAACACTTTTAAACCCAGTGGAAACTGTATGCACAATGTCTTTTAACAATCAGGAACACTGCATTCTCCCCACAGAATGTATTTATGGGTTTCATATGACTCGCAGAATAAACAAATATTACTTCCTTAAACAACATTAACAAACTGATCTTTGTACTGGTGATGCAATGTGTATAAATCATTTGTATGAGCTTCAGCTTCAGAGGTTGTAGATAGTTTATGAAACAGACAAAATGGAATAGGATGAACACATTGTAATCATATATGAGCAAAACACTTGTGTCACAAGGAAATGTTAATTAATTGACTATGCAGTTGCATTTCTTACAGGTGTTTTAAATCTAGTGAACTGATATCAAGTCATATTGGTTATAACTGTCACACTAAATTTATTAGTGGTTCACTGCATACTTCTTAATGCTCTGATGATTCTAGTTATAGTTATAATGGTTGATCTGTAAACATGCATTCTGTATGAGAACATGTGCACTGATGATAATTTATATAAAGCCAAAACATGTATGAATTAACAAAAATAATAATGCTAAACTGCAAATTGGGAAATAGTGTTGTTTAGATATAATTTTTGTACCAGAAACAAAATTTATAATTTTGGTTTTAATTTTGCAACATATAATGCATATTCTGATAAAATGGAACTACCTCTAATTTTCTGGTTCCCAGCTAGAACTGCATATCTCACTGCAAAGTTTAATGAGATTTTTCCAATATGAGTCAAGTATCCAT